TCTGAGGTGCTTGATTCTGTGCATCTGTGGCCACGGAAGTGACAGAAACACCTGAATTCAATTACATGGATGGGTGAGTGAATACTTTTGGCAATCTAGTGTATATACTTAATATCTAAAATATATAATATGGTGTATAGCTTCATATAGCAAATGATTTCTTTTTAAAGATTTTTTTTCCCTGTGTCTGTCTGGTTTCTCCATGTCCTGTCTCTGCAGGTTCCTGGTTTCCCTGCCATGGCTAGTTAATGTCTCCAGTTCTGGTCCCTGAGTTTCTCTTCCTGTCAATAGTCTCTCTGTGTTTCATCCTTTTTTCTTCCCAGTCAGTCATGTCTCCCTGTCTTTCTCCAGCCCCTTTATCAAGTTCACGTGTTTTAGTCTGGGTCTCAGTGTGTGTTACTTCCTGTTTTATTTTGATAGCCTTGCTTTCACTTATACAGTACCAATTTAATTTCAGTAGTCCCCTCTAGGCAACATATATTATAAGGACATGTTTCAACATCACAACCACATCTAAAGAACAGCAGGACTTACTCGCCTCACCTATGATCAGTGTTCATGATTCAGTAACAAGAAATGGGGGAAAAAAGGTAGATTTCCAAGGTGAAAACCATTACTGACAAAAAAGAGCACAAAGGCTCATCTCATTTGCCAAGAAACATCTTGATGACCCTAAAAACTTAGGAGGAACATGTTCTATGGACTAAAAAGACAGATGTTTTACTTTTTGTAAGGTTTGCATCCTGTTACATCTCACATAAAACTAAAACAGCAAGTCATATAAGGGTATCAGCAAACGTGGTGGTGGTAGTGTGATGTACCGGGGCTGCTTCAATGCTTCAGGATCCAGACAACCTGTTATCAGTAATGGAGCCATGAATTCTACTCTATACCAAAAAATCCTGAAGGAGAACGTCTGATTGTCCGTTTGTGGATGTTAGTTAAAGTCTGGACTTGCATGTTCCCAAGAGTGGGACAAAATTAATACAATCAACCAAGTTTTAGGTAGGTACTTAGGGAATGGTAGTTATTTTCCATTAATAAATGAAAACACAATTTAGAAGCTGTTTTACATTGACTCCAGTTATCCTTCTCTAATATTGATCTAAAACATGGAACTTTAGCAGACAAGATAAAAAGAAATCAAGAAGGTGTCAAATGCTTTTTCACAACACTTTTCTTAAAAAAAATTTGAGAAAATTGGACAAGTAGAGCAGAAAAGAAGAAATATTGGGCTTAAAAAACTATATACAGCAGACGAGCAGTATCTGAAAGTTACGTCCTTCAGAAAAATCCAGCAAAAAACTGTCTTATGGTCCATCAGTTGATCCTTCTGCAGCCTCATAAGAAATGGGCTCTGCAGACACGATACCTTAACATTACTGAAGCACTGCGCTATGATCTTGACAGAGGACAGAACAAACCAAAGCCAATATCCAATAAGTAGTGTTGAAATGACCTTCCTATTCTGTTCATGAAAACTCATTTCACATATTGACTTTCACACTTGTTACCACCAACTCAGAGTTTGCTATATTGTGCATGCCTGTATTTTCATGCATATTTGCACATTTCAATGATTTGTGCACCCATTTCCCATCTGCCTGGCAAAATATAGAATATACATGAAGATTTTCCACTGTACTGTATTTTAGAGAAGCTAATTGGGATTACTCAATAATCTTTGAGTAATTATAGTAGTTATAATCAGCTACTCACAGCTCCAGGATAAGCACCACATCAGTGCGGTTCTCATAGACGTCGTGCAGCATGACGATGTTGGGGTGCTGAATCTGCTGGAGGATGTTTACCTCTCGCTCTATTTCGTCTCGCCGGACTCCACGAGAGCTGGCCATGCTCTGCCGCTTTTTGATAAACTTAGCAGCAAATTCCAAACCTGTAGTTTTCTCTCGACATTGCTTCACAATGGCAAACTGCCCACTCAAACACAGAGAGGAAATCACACAATCAAATGAAGATCATTGAAAAAATCACTTCCTAACTACCACACAGAACCATGAACATATCTGCAGGTTAGATGGAAACAAGGGTGCAGTCCTATTGACTGCACATAACTGTCATAAATATTTGGCAAAGACTGGCGCACTGCAAAGTTTAAGCAAACTACAACATTTGTAGGTCGTTTTATTGACTGTGGAAAATTAGAGTTATGTTAAAATAGACCAATGAGTAATTTAGTTATTAGTTTGACTGTTTGACACTTTACTAACTAGAATGCACCCCACAAATTTCCTTATCTATATTGAAAATGGCAACACAAACAACAACAACAACAAACTGCACAGTTACACCACAGGTCATGTACAGTATTTAACATTCAAATTCACTTATATGACCATGCAGATGCATCTATTTTTTCCTGGTTCACTTCAATGGTTTGTAAGCTGACACTCCACTTCCTGCAGCCAGGCTAAGAGCAAATATAACCTCTGCTAAATATAAACAAGTCCTTTAAAAAGCAGTTTGATGTGCATGACATTTGTCTCTCTCACACAACACACAGCAACAAAAGCAAAGCCAAACATGCAACTTTGTTTCGCACTTCTCTCAGAAATAGAGCGAATCGCTTTTAGAAACCACCTGATATTTAGAGAGTGTGTGTCAGCAATCATCAGCTAAAAAGGAAGCTGTGTGCAGCCAAAGACAAATAAAAGACTTTTCACTGGTGCAGTTAATGACCCAGTGTCATTTCCATACCGTTAGAGCTCAGAAATAACTCTGTGGAAGAGTAAATGTAAGTCAAGTTTGAAAAAGATCCCAGTGTATTTTGTGTAGGTGTCTACTCTGCAAACATGCCTTATATTTCCTACACCAGGATGAGCAGTAAATGAACACAGGAATACACGTTGAAGTAGTTGGTGTTCTGGTTGGTGGTTGAGTTTGTAGTTAATATGCTGTTGTTCTCAATCCATCCGTCTCACTATCTGCATTCTGATTTACATTAAACTAGCCGCTGTTACTCATTAAACTACATTTAAAGCAGATGCAAAAGTCTGTACCTGCCAAGCTCTTCACCAATTTCATAGAAATCTTCCACTTTCTGTTGCTTGAATAGATCCATTACTGCTGCAGTCCCCAGTTTGATGTTGTCTGTCCTGAAATGATAATTAAATAACACGTAAAAAGTGCTTTACTTAAACAACATGGCCCAATTTTAAAAAACCATCTACAAATAATAAAGGGAAAAGGATTTTGAAGTAAGCCTGTCCCCGAAAATAACCAGTTTCCGATGTCATCTGGAAAAACAGATCACAGGAACTGCAGCGTGTCGTGGCAGACAGACGCTACACAACGATAACGTGTAGAAAATGTGTCCGCGTTTTTAAAACATACGTAACTCTGTGCTCGTGGACTTCCTCCTCGTCATGCCCTGTCCCCGTGTCCGTGTCCCTGTGTCCGTGTCCCCGTGTCCGTGTCCCCGTGTCCGTGGCTGCAGCGCTCTGCACAGATCACGAAGTCGGGCAGAAAAGTCTCGGAACTTATGCCACAAAAGTCGTATAGTTGGAAACAAATGTCGTCGTTATATATCGATAAAACGTGTATTCAGAGAAACAGTTACAGGATCTGAACGATGTGTTTGTGTTTGGTAAGATTAACATGATTAAAATGGTGAAGCAGTAAAAACGGAGACATCCAATTTGTTGAATCACACATGTGACATATGAAAACAAATACACAGTAGTCCTGTTTCACGTTCATGAGTGGACTGTTCGAGCAAGATTTGATAACACTTCAAGTGTTACTCAAGAGACTGCTCTATAACGCGTGTAATCTTCCTCCTTACAATGAAATGCAGGTAATAATAGAACAAGAGGTATCAAGCAGTTTCAAAGGAAAGGAGAAAAATATGTGTAAATATTATGTGAAGGCACAAAGCATACTGTAGTTATGGTTATACTGTAGATGGTGTAGTTAAAGTAAGAACTGTTCATTAAGCTGTAGCTGCATCCTTACCTTCAACATTCACCACGTCACCTATAACCTGCTGGGGCCAGGGTGACATGTGGTGGGTTGGTAGACTGGAAATAAATAATAAATGTTAGGAAATTACAGCATCAGTTGTGGGATATAATTGTTCTACCCAGATTTTGAATTCTCTCTTCCTGCAGTTTCAGTACTTGCTATTTTTAATCTCATATTTCTGTTCTGTTTTCAATAAGCAGTAGCGTATATAGATTTTACAAAGTAAAAGTCTGTTACAGGTAAAGAGAACAGAGGTAAGCAGGAGGCGTTGGGTAGGTATGTTGTTTTCTTTTCCTGTTTTATTTAGTAATCCCTGTTATCAGTGTTACTTTTTGTTTTTATTAGTCTTTTACTCTTCAGTCTGCTCAGTCAATTAGAGTCTAACTCTAGTTATTAAGCTCCCCCTTGCGAAAATGCTTTTGAAATCTTAATAGTCAGGCTTTCCAGTTGGTCTTGTATTCCTATGTCCAGTAAGATCCTCTTGTATGTTTTTTTGACCGATTCTCTCATTTCCCCCCTTTGCTGCATTTGCTTTCGCTAATAGTCTTTAAAGTTTTATTATTGTTGACCATAGCACATGAACAATGTAACTATTGGACTTCTATCCTTTGCATGCAGTGCACATAATGTGCTTTAAGTTGTGACATTAGTAGTTTTATATAGGCTCAGTGGGAGAGAGTGAGACTGGGTGTGCTTAGAAACATGAAAAGGAACATGGGGGGAGGTCATCTAAAGCTATATGTGTTTTTGTATAGATCTGTTAATCCAAGGTACAAACCAAATGAATTATTTACTTTGGGCCAAGCTGTTAAAGTTCAATCTGGAACAAGGAACACAGATAGTAAAATGAAAGTGCTTGTGCAATGTGAGGCAGAAAAGCTGGTGGCAGATGAACTAGATAAACTGCAACAATACCCCGATTCAGATGAGAGACAGAAGTAGTCAAATGAGGCACCTCTGCTTCCTTTAGAAGTATTACATCAGAGCAGAGAGTATGCACACTGTATCACCTGTGCTCTGTCAGCAGCTCACATATGGATGTGGATGGAGAAGAGGTCAGGTGTTGAGCTGAATATGGAACCACAGGAAGGAGGGGGCCTGAAGGAGCTGGTGCTTCGATGGTTTACTGAGACACAGGCACCGCTCGTCCAGCACAATGGAAACTTCCCTGATTGGTTTCAAGGCCTTGCTACAAGAAAGTAAGCAGCATACAAAAGACCTTTGCTTCAGGACACGTAGAGACTAGTGACGAGAAGATACCCAGAAAGCTGATTCTGTTCACCTGGATGTAGTGAAGAAGCCACTTTGATGACTGACCAAACATTTCTCCCACTGAGAACGCGACGTCCAGATAAACAGAATCAACTTTCTGGGGTTTCCTTATCTAGATGACTGAGCACATGAAAAAAATGAGGCTTTTTTATAGGAAGTTCAAGAATTTCTGCTTTACTGGGGCTTCATCACTTACTTGTGATTTCATTTGAACACTGTAAATACTGTAAATATCTCCCATCACTATTATGGTTTTACTGTCCGTGTTTGTGGGTAGCTACTGAGGAAATGCAGAGTTTGAATATCATTTTCATTCCATGCTACCTCATCCTCATGCCTCACGTTAGGACTGCTGACTTGGTGTTAGACGAGGGAAGAACATATAGGTGAACGTATTATGTGTTTGTCCGTTTCTAATTACTTTTCACTGATTGGGATAAAATAGAGATGTAGATAGTGTTGCAGCAGTAGGACATGCACTTAGAGCTTTTTTTCTTATACTTAAACATGTTTTGCTGAAAGCACCCACAAACTTTTACCTCAATGACTTTTTCAAAGCAAAAGTTTAGCTACATCTGTTTGGGAGAACAGGAGTTGTATTCAGAAAATAAAAAGCAGCCAATATTCTGTTCCATATTAATTAATATCACAGCCAAAAACGAGGTAAAATATGAATTGTCTTTGTTCGCGTCATACTATTCAGATTAAAGCTCCTTCTTAAAGACTGGCATTCGACATAAAAACGAGTCGAGAGCTAGTTGTAAGTTATAGCGCATTAGCTACAAGTCTGTTGACATTAATGACCAGAAGGCTCTTAATGAACGGCCGTGGCTGTGCTGAACAGAAGACGGCTGTCCCCGCTTCCAAGGAATTTTGCTTAGAGCGTTAAAAATGTTACCTCTGGATTCAGCATCAATAGAGCTCTGTTTTCTGAGTGATGTAAGAGTGAAATGAATAGTTTCATGGCGTGTTTCAAATCCAGTTTGACTGCCGGTTTGTTCAATTGGATCGGTTTTGTTTTCCGCTGCAGGGAAGCAGAGGAGCTCCTGAGGGATAAAAGTATGGGCTGTTTTCTCATTCGTCTCAGTAATAAAGCCTTCGGCTACATCCTGTCCTACAAGTAAGGCAAAGCATGTCAACTGGACCTTGTTGAACTGTTTCAGTATTCTTCCTCATTCCTCTCTCTGCCTTCTCCCAAGGGGTAATGACAGGTGCCGCCATTTTGTTATCACCCAAAATCAAGACGGACATTTTATCATATCGGGAGACTCTCAGACATACGGCAGTCTCACCGAGCTGATCCAACACTACAAGGTCAGCGCCATCCAGCCCTTTGGAGAATATCTGACCTCCAGCTGTAATGAGGTGAGGCTGTCAGGGTTTATAGAAGTGGAACCCAAGCACAAGACACAGAAGGGCAGATTGAATGAACCAAACAGCCATTTGATTAGGCTGGTGCAGAACAAAGAAGCCCCAAAGCAGTCGTCCCAGAATTAGGAAAACACTGGGAAGTGTGAACTATGTGACACAGGAAATAACCCAAGAGATTTCACTGCCACACAATGAACTGAGAGGCCCAGTAAAAAGATGCATTTAACCTGAACCACAAACCTCCCCAAAGTAATATGGAGCTCGACATTAATGGGTACTTCACTGTGACCTCAGACAGCCTCTGATAGATGTAAACCAGGGGTAAAATGGCCTGTATTTATATAGCGCTTTACTCGTCCCTAAGGACCCCAAAGCA